GATCTCGCGTCACTGTTACCAGAATCACTCGTTTCCTTGTACATCCTGTTTCCGAAAGACACATCTCGCGAAACACCTCGTTCTTATACACGGTGCATGAGATCAATTCTTTTTGATCTGAGATGTTGATCCTGAGATGTTGATCCTGAGAAAAATGAAAACAATCGAAACGAATTGTCGGGTTACATTACGCGTATATTCTCTTTAAAACTTTTATAGAGCGAATTGTCACTCTAAAGAATCAAATTTCATTCTTAAAGATTGAAAATTGAGCTACTTGCTTTGACTCAATTTTCACTCTTCAGAGTGAGATTCTAAAAGAATTTAGGAAGTACAAAATCATGCGCTGTAGAAAAATTATTCATAACGCTTGTAATTCTCTTCGAAATCGAAAATAGAATTTGCACGTGCAAACTTCTATCATATCGTCGAAAAAGAACATTAAAAATACTTTCTTTCTATTTTCGCTTTGCGTATTTTAGATAATTTCCAAAAGTTTATGATGCAGTTGGCGACGCCAGAACTGAAGAAAGACTTTCGACGAAAGACGACAAGACGTCTCGGCAAAGATATTTAAAGCCGCTTAGAAGATTTTAAAGTTAGCTCTTTAGAGCGGTGATGATCGACGGCGCGCGTGATCATTCGATTGAGGTGAATTCGATCGATCGGAAACGTGCGCGTCGATCTTGTTTGCTGGACCCACTGAAAAGCGTATTAGACGGCACTTTCCAGGAGTGCTTACTAACGACCGCACATATTTGTCGGATTTCGCTGTTTGATGAATGGAAACTGTGTTCTCTATCTAAACCGGAGTTAAACGCGCACGCTGGGCGCGTTCCCCGAGCAACTCGAGCAACGCGCACGTTGCGTTTATTATCGCGATTGAAAGCAAAGTTCGTGAAGACGGTCCCGAGTGAATTACGTTTCAAACTAATCCTGGACGTGCATAGAGATAACGCGATTATTTTTATTCCGGTTCATATTGGAGAAACCTGGCTATTCTGGCTTTACTAATAGAATCGAGAAAGACTAGTTTGCCCGTTAATAATTAATAATGATGATATTTGATGTCTGTCCTATTTTGTGACTATCCGTTTATGGTAATAGCTGAGAATTAATAGATGTAATAGATGATGCCAGTAATAGAATACGATACAGTATTAATTTCATGATAATGAATTGTGGACGTAATATCACGCACGAATGGATCTAATTGGATTATGTATTTAGTAAAAATAAACACGCGTATAATGGATGTTAAGCGGCAGGTTTCGCTCGTAGCTAAAATGAACTATTATGAGTAATGTAACTTAAGTAATAACATGCTTAGTAAAAAACGTTCTATATTTATGTTAAAAACGGATTTACTCAAATCCTTGTTCAAATTTTGCTTGTTAAAATAGAATTTGTAATATATCTGAGTGTTAATATATAATGTGATCATGTTACTTAAATATTTTGTGTTAAATTAATATTCAACATTTCTTAGTTAAAGTAATACAATTTAGTAAACAAATAACATATAAATAAATTTCTTAAAACGTAAATTGTAAGATAAATTAATAAAATGTGTTGTAATCTGATGTATTATAAATATTAATTTTAATGAAGAAAATGATTTACGTTTTTTTATGTTAATTTTTTACATAATATTAGTGTTGCTTTCTAACGATTCTTCTTGTGTTAAATTAACACAAAATTTGAGTGGACCGTTTGATACATGTAAAGTATGTTAAATTTAACACAAATGTTCCAAACAAATATATGTATGATATTTAGTGTGAATAGTATTAATCATTTTTTCAAGATGTAATTGCGCGCGCACGCGATTCAATATTGAATATCTTGCCTTTATTTCAACGAAAAATTTTTTGCGTTTAATTAAAAGAATTGATGAATAGTAATTAATAAAAATATCTTTATGACCGCGAATCAGCGTCGTAAATGTGTGAGAAATAATACTATTTTTGATGTAGCTGAAAAATTTTCTATCTTTTTTAGTAAAACAAAATATTTTGTAGAATCAAAAACGGATAGTAAGTAATAATATCATTCATGTTGCTAACAGATTAGAAAACGTGCGTATTAAAACCAGCTAAATTCGTACGTAGCTGTACGTCCTGTAGTTCAGCAAAAATTGACAGAGAATTGACAGGCTACGTTAAAAGAGATACATCCGAGAACAAATTCTATCCGAATTTATACCGATCAATATTGGTTCTCTGCCAACGCCATCCGGTCTTGATCATGACTACAAAAGATACAAAAAGGTAAAGATGTATCATATGCTCGTCGTTGTACTTTATCAAAAATATTTTTGTTCACCCAAACTGAAAAATCAAAAAGCAGAATATATACAAAAAGTACGATTTTGCTAAAATATTTAAAGAAGCTACATATAAAGTTGAAAATAATTTTGTTAAACATTAAAATAATTATGTAGAAAATTCAAGCATGATGAACGATACTACACAAAATTTTGATATTCTGGCAACTTGAGCGTCCTACATAATTATTTTAATAGTTCAACAAAAATTATTTTCAGATTTATATGTAGCTTTTTTAAATATTAATAGTTAAATTTCTAGGTATTTCGACAAAATCGTTCTTTTTATGTACAATCAAACTGGTTTTTTATTTTTTACTTAATTTTTCACTTTAAATTTTTACAAAATATTTATATCAGTTAATATGCATGACAGATTCGGATTTGAACAAAAATTGGAAATAATTGTTTTATAAAAGTAGATAAATATTTTATAGTTTGCAATATATATTGGAAAAGAAATTTGATTGCATTAATTAGAATTCTAGTTAAAAATAGACAAATCTAATCAAACAATAGTTAGAATTTTCGACCATTATCAACCAGAAATTTTCTCAGTGTATACGATCGTTTAAGGAAATCTCACGTACACGTGCAAGGCACAAGATTAAGACTCTTCATCTACACAAAAATGATGTTGACAAATTCTCTAATAAAAAACGCACCTTTAGTACTCCAAAGTATTCATTTTACGAATTATGGAAAGTCGGACTTTTAATACTCTTACCTGTGTCACACTACGCATTAGAGGCTGAGAATTTCGCGCGAATTGAGGATTAGAATTCAGCCAATTAGAACGAAATGGATTAAAATTAAAATTATCTGATTGGTTGAATTCTAATCTTTAATTTGCAATCCTCAATATATAATGTGACACGGGTATACCGTTTAAAACAGTGTTTTATTTAATATGTTGACAGTAACTCTGGACTCTAACTCTGGATTCTTACATAAAACAAAACGAATTTGAGTAGATAGATGATTCGAAATTGATTGTAATGCGACCAGTAAATTTAGCAGAAATTTTCAACAATACAAAAGCTCTCTTTATTACGCAGACACTTATGCAAAACTCGATCTTTATTTTCGATAAATGCATAATTTAAAAAAAATTTCTACTGAAGAGTACTCGATGTGCAAGCACTATATAAAACAATAATAAAATTTATGCATTTAATTTCTTTCAGTACTACTGGGAACATAGACAAACACGTTTCTGTTTACGTGACGTTAAGTAATATTTATAGCCTTTTAGGTCAAATATTCGTGTGATTTTTCATTCGCGTTATCCTGTCTCTCCTGTATCCTATATTATTTCGTTAAAATTTACCGATTAATACAGAACACTGCTGACACATCGTAAACCGTAAAGCACGTTATTAAAAGTTACCGAAGAAGAAGATTCGCTTTCAAAACAGGCTTCCAATGAGATATCGAAACCACTCTTACGTGGGCGATACCTGACAAATCTCTCCGGATTCCTTCAATCTTTCGCGACGGGGCACACGTTTCCCCTGCGGCGAGAGAGGATCCGGAGTAGGAAACTGTCTCGTAACCCGAGTCGGTTTCCTTCTTCAGCCACCCCGCCTCAGGTCGCGCGAAGCTCTTGTGGAAAGTTCAGGGCGATTACATCGAATTCTTTCCCCGGAGCAGACCGCCCGTTCGACCTATCGCTCGTCCTATCTCGTCGCACACCCTATCCTCGTCCGATCTTCCCTGCACTCCCGTAATCCCAAGCCCTTTTGTTCCCCTCGTCCCTTCGACATTTTCGCAGCCCCGTTTGAGTGTTTACTCGCGTGCTCGAGTTCTGTCAGTATCACACGTCGTGTCCGCCAAACAAATCGATCTCTTCTCACCCACTTCGCATGTACAGGACTTTCGGATCGTGTAATGCTTGAGCGACGTGCCCCGTCATGTTGACCGATTTTTCCGATTATGAAAATAGCAAATCGAATACGCAAAGATCGCGTTGGATATAGATGATGTGCAGTTGTAGCGCGAATTGCAGTGTGCAGACGAACGGAGAAGTTGAAGAGCTTCTTCGAGTCAAATTGCATTTATAATCCCGATGATACGTAACACGAATGTTCCTTGATGGAAGCCTAACGTCATACTAGCCTTCCGTGTAGAATCGAGTTTCAAGTGTCACATTTACACACGAATGCATATTTAACACGTGACAGACAATCTGAAGATTTATTTATAAATTCGCAATTTGATCGAAGTAGTATTTGATAGGACACTTCCCCCTGTCTCGTTTGCAGATTCATTTTCTGACAATTATACGGTATCTAAAGATAATATTACTCGACGATCTCGACGTGGAAACGATGTAAGCAGATCTCTTTAGCTCTTCAGTCGATCTACGGTAATTACATCAAAGCATACGTCGGTTTCCGTGGAGTTCTGTTCGTAAGAGATTCCGCCCTTCACCCCTTATGGAATCTGAATACGAGCTAGCGCGCATTACGATCCCAATTGTAATCCGTTGTTCAGTGCAGCTCGGCCCTGAAGGGGCGCGCGGAAGGGCAAACAAAGGCGAGCACGTCGACGAGCACGCTCGCGCGCGCGCGACCAGCTGCGCGTTCGGTTCGGGGGATGAAAAGAGGGATAATTCTCGCGTTGGTGGTCGGTGCTCCTGTATGACCGCCGATGACCGTGTCATGTTACTTACATGTCCAAGGATCGGCCACGTTGAACGCCTCACTTAGGGGGTTGTACCAAGGGGGTTGGTCTCGCGCGAACAACGGCGAGGTACCGGGTCGAGACGGGTATATACGCGGACCACGCGTGTCTCCCGATTGTGACGAGCGCACACGCACGCACGCACGCACGCACGCAAGCACGAACGTACGTACGCACGCATTCACACGCACGCAGTTTCGCCGTCGTCGCCGATATAGCGATAGCGGAGTTACGGAGATACACGGAGTTCGCGAGTTCACTGCGCACACAATTTCCCATCGCCGTCGTCGCTTCTCATCCCATGCCGAGCGTGCATCCTCGTCGTTGTCATCATCAGCCGCATTAGCCGTGTAGACATCGCCGTCTTCCTAACAGGATCCGCTGGTTCCAGCGGCGCGGTCGTTTATACACAACACGGAATTCTCTCACCTCGATAAACGCGTGGACTGACACGCGTGTCTCTCGTGCACGTCGTGCGACCAGAAAAACTCAACACGAGCGAACTTTAATATCCCAGGGTTCCGCGATGCGAACGAGCCTTTCCTGTCCACCGATGTCACCCGGACAACCGGGTACCCCCTTTTTTTCTCAACCGGCCGGCTAGCTAACCAAACCGGAAAAGGGCGAAGAGTGAGAAAGGGCGAGGATAGATTGGAGGTTCGCGGAGGACTGTTCGCGCGCTGTGAAAGGATCTGGCACGATTTTTAGGGAAAAAGGAGAACGTTCGCGGACGATGAGGGCGCGAGACGTTTATTCTCCGTGTAGAGTTGTGCGCGACACGGGTCTCGCAGACGTTGGCGAGCACTCTGCACAAGCTCTCTCGGCCGGGGATACACGAACGAACGAACGAACGCAGTAGTAGCGGACCGAACGGGGCGGCCAAAACGCATCAGAGAAGGAGTAGGAGAGGGTATATGGAAGTTGGATGCG